AGGCGGGGGTCTTGGCTGCGGCCGGACTTTTCGCACTCAAAGAGAATATCGAAAGATTGCATTTCGATCACAAACACACGCTTATGATTGCATCAGGTATTGCATACAATCAACATAATTGTCATAAAAATGTTTTTGGTTTCAATGATTTTAGTTTACATTATTAATATTAATAAATATACATTAATTTGACTACATCACACGTTTAAAAATTAAACTTGTTTTAACCTGACGTCACGAATACAGTACAGTATTACGACTAGTATTATAGTAAGTTATTTGTAGTAAAAATAATTGCATTATAACTTAAATAGGTGTTTTAAAATCATTTTAGGCTCTTAAAACTACCCAATACATTTATTATAAATATTTTTAATAAACTTAACATATAATCAACTATTATACTAATCTATTTTTAATTCTTGTACATTTCCTTAGCCATCTCTGAACTAAATAAAAGTTTCATTAGAGTTGATATGAAGAATATTCACACAAACATTGGTTACATTGAAATCGACCCCAAATGGATGACTGCACAACAATTGATCGCACGTCTGAATTCTGTGAGTTATTGTAATTGAAATTATATGTTTTACTAATTGATTGATTAAAATCTAAATAAGATTACAAATGAAGAGAAGGCTGTGTTAGGAGACCGCTGTGTTATTGTCAAAATGGGAGCAAAAACTGGAACCAGAATCAGATTTGTCACACATTTAGACATTTCTACAGATGACACTCGTCTATTGATTGAGAAATTGAATTTCATTATTAATAACTTTAATAAACTTTGAGAATTGTGTTCTCAATAATATTAACTGTTATTATTAGAAAATACTAGTAAAAAGGTTATTTTTAATACTGTATATTGCATGGTATTTTGACCATGGTAATATTATTATAAAATATAAATATTAAATTCTAGATTTGAATGTTTGCATACCTGTATTAATATATTATTATTTTTAATATATTTAAGTTAGTATTTAAATTTTAGGTTTGAATACAATATCATATAAAAAATAATGATTAGGTTTAATATATTTACTTTAAAATATAAATAAAATATCAGATCACAATAATACGTTATAAAAACTTATAATCATAATCTATATTTTTATCTAAATAAAATTTAAATAATAAGTCTTATAAATTAATAACCAAAAATTACAAAACTATTATTATTATTATTTTAGTTTTATTATTATTTGTAAAAAATATATCCCACAAAATAAATTCAATATTTATAATTGAGTTCATAGAAAATATTGAAATTGAGATTACAATTTATATAATCTATTTATAAACTAATCAATCAATTAGCAGAAATATTTCTATATAAACTATATTTAATTAAATACTAATGTATGATAGTCATGTAACTTTATTTAAAAATCTTTAGTACCGGCAATATTATTGTACTGTATATACAACCCTGATAATTGAAAATTCATTAATGCTATAGAGGTCCACAAATTGAGGACAGATGAATGAATAGCAAATAGTAAGTTATATAATGATTAGTAGATTTAGACTTGAAAATGTGAAACCTGTCAGTGACTGATTCTGTCGTGACCTTTATATTGGATTTGCAATCCGTGTTAATGCTAATGTCATCCTATGTTTCATATGATGTAAAAGTATTCATTTATATAAATATAACAAAAATTAGTAAAATGGGTTTTACTTAAATATAATATATGTCGCAAAAGCTTAATAAGATTGTTTGGGAAGTAAAGTGAAAAAGTATGTTAAGCTAAGGTACGAGTTATAAATAACAATAAAGTTATAATGTAGTTATAATTTTGAAATGTTTGTTCCGTTATTCTGTTATTTAATGTGAAATTTAGAAATTTATGAAAAATAACAGAGAAATCATAAATCCTTTGAGCGTTTAGAGTGTGTACAGAATTTAATAAAAAAATTCTTATTTATTTCATTTCCTATTTATGAAGTTTGTCTCATAAGTTTATATTTTGAATTTATATAAAAATGATTTATAAACTCATTAATAGTTAATTAGAGTTCATTTATCATTATTTTCTATTATTAATAAATAGTCTTAAACTTTGAAAGTTCTTGAAAAAACAGTTAAAAAACAAGTCATATATGAATGACCCGAAGCAGTACGTGTCCGATGAGCTAATTCAGGGAATGAACACTTGTTATGGATGTCCGCTATGTCTGTAATACTGTATACTATGGTAAGGAAGGGGGCAGTCATTCATCCAAACATTCAGTCATTCATTGCATTCCATTAGAGCTTCTCTTCATTCCTCGTCTCATAATTTGGAGTCTATTTGAGAAACGACTCGATTTTGGGTTCGTTTCACTCGCAGCCAGTCTTCAAGTCTTCAACTATTTGCTGAATTAAAAAACTTGTTTTACTTCACAATTGTATTACAGCTTAGATGTGAGACTTTAGAGCTGACAGAGAGTGAGGGCTTGAGCACAGGTAGTAGTGTTGGAAATACAGGTTTTGCGCACTTTTGGCAAAAAACGGCTCAAAAATGTTTCTCAAATACATTTGAAACGCAATCGCAAACTCATCCATTGAAACAAGTTAGCAAAGTTAGCACTCGCTCTGCATACCTGTGCCCCTCTGCCAACCACATACATACATAGGTATACTTACCTGTACTGTGCCCAGTGTGCCTTGCTCAATATATCTGTTCGAATTGGTTTAGTTAGTTAATAGTTATTAATTGTTATTAATTAAATGAATAGCTATTAATGACTATTTGTGACAATAAGAGTAAGTTATGCCATAAAGGAAGCAGTGGTTGAAAGCAAGTGAGAAGTGATCGCCGGTTGTACTGAACAACAGCTAAACGAGTCGTTCCTCTGTTCCTGTGTTTAGCTCTTTCTTTGGTAGCATTGAGTGAACAGTTGTTGTGTTGAAAACAATCTTAAAGTCGCTTAACTCAGCGCTATTACGACCAGTTGTAGGCAAAAGTGATCCCAAAATGGCCTGTTCTGCAGTCACCCTATCCGTCGCTACCATCATATCGGTGGTGGCCGTCGCCTGTCTATCCATTGGCTTCAGTACTGACAACTGGTATGAGATACGTGTCGACAAGAATAAGACTAAACTATACATCGATTCACACTCTTTGGTCACTGAATACGAGAGAGACTATCGTTTTTACAGCAGAGATGAGGGACTCTTCCGGATCTGTTTCGCTGAAAAGAAACCAAAAGAAGGCAAGTCTTGATATATTTGTCATGTCTTACAGATATTATTATAGCTGTCGCGTGAAAATGAGATTTAATTCAACATTATATTCATATATTGAGACAAATATTTGTTGGAATCCATTCAAGAACTGAGAGAATTTTAATTAACTTTTAAAAATAATAGTTACTTTGAAATGGTAATAATTATCAAATTATTCGCTCATATAAGAATCATTAAAATATTTTTATATTTAAGCCTTATTTTGATTAAAGTTTTCATAAATTAAGGATCAAATGTTTTACATCTCAACCCAACCGCCCGATCAGGTTCTCCACGATTATGAATGCCTTTTAAAACATTCCCTTTTTTAAGCATTTTTCAGTCTAACCTATAATTATGTGAACAACTATTGCTTTTATTTATTATTCATAAAATAAAGGATTAAAATACTAGTCTTGAAGTCATTCTCTAAGCAGTGATAAAAAACTTTATAGATAACAGACTGTGAGTAGATTTGGATATAAATTAATGTTTTAATAATAAGTTATGCTTTTTGAAATAATCGAGATTTGTTGTCAATTTTTCACTCAATATTTTCTGACAATCATTTCATGTGTATATATATTTCGAAATTATTAAACATTTTTTTGTTTTGACCTCAAAAGTGAACATATTTTTCAAAATAAAGTTCAAAATGATACCAAAAACAGAAAAAACATCGAATTTATCAGATTTTGGAAAATATATATTTTTTTATATTTTGAGCACATCTCATGTTTAAATAAATTTGAAACTTAAGGATATTTGACTTCAATTACATATCTATTAGTTTATGTGGATTGGAGACAAGAATTTCTCAATAAAATTTAATTTATTTAAATGGGACTCAATTTTGACGCTCACTGTTTTAAAACTATACATTAGTTTATGACTAAAACAGTGTATAAACCAAATACGAGCCCAGAATTGGAGCAAATGGTATAAATTAGGGAAACGATAACTACTTTAGGCTGTCTTTTATACAATCATTCAAAAATAAATTAGTTTATCTTTTTTGTTGTTTTCAATTATTTTCATATTATTTGGGTTCAACAAAAAACAAATGTTTTGACTATTGTTTTGATTGAATTAAATTCATTAAAACGCATTGAATATTATATTATATCATATCTGAATGTTGCTTTATATTATTTTTTATATAACTTTTATTTCAAATTTCTTTTGAAGTTTAAAGCGAAAACGAAAATAAAAACTATTAATTTTCTATAACTAACATATCATTTGATTGATTTCATTCCAGTGCCCACATACCTGTCCCCCACTCAGACCGAGTGCTTTAATATAGACTATTATATACCCGAAAATGAAGTCTCAGACAAATTCTCTGAACAGCGATGGGAACGATTGCGTAAGTCTTGAGTTTTTATAATTAATTGAAAACAATATAACAGTAATACTGTAATACTGTTTATTAGAGTAAATGGCTTCAGAGCTGTGAATGTTGTGAATGATTATGACAATTATGTTGATTGTATGCAATACCTGATGCAATCATAAGCGTGTGTTTGTGATCGAAATGCAATCTTTCGATATTCTCTTTGAGTGCGAAAAGTCCGGCCGCAGCCAAGACCCCCGCCTGTCTCATACCACCGCCTAATACTCGACGACATCTGATGGCCCTCTCAATGAGTTTTGTAGAACCGGCCAAAATACTGCCCACTGGACATCCCAGTCCCTATAAAGTTCATTAAGTTTTACAAAACATTCAAAATAATGGTAGGCATTAACAAACTTTAGAGAGACAGAAAGACACAGAATCGCAATTCTTGACAATTCTGGGAACGGGTTGACCGGTTTTGAGGCTGGCATTGAAAACACGGGCGCCGTCCATATGCACTGCAAAGCCATTTGATTTTGCGATCTCACAAACCTTTAACAGAATTGATATGTACAGTATTTTATACAATATATGAATTAATCACTAGAATATTGAATAATGCACTTTATACTTATATAAATAATTCATGACATATGGCATACTTTGTCAATAAACTCTAATGGAAGTGGAGTTCCGTTACATATATTGTGAGTATTCTCTAAGCAAACCAAAGAGGTGTACGGAGACAATGAATCGACATTATAACGAATCTTCGAAATCATTTCATCGATACTAAATGTGCCGTCACTTCGGTTTACAAGCGTACGGCTGTGGACGTGGCCTACGACTAAAAGTCATTCAATGGTTTATTTTTAATAATTTCATTAATGCAGTGTTATCCTAGTTAAATATTATGTATAAAGTACTTACTAGCAGTATTTCCTTGCTCATTTATGTGTATATGGGAAGCATCTCCTAACATAATCTCAGAGCCTCTTTCCCAGGTATGAGACATGACTAAAGCAAATGGTATGAAATTCTGATTATTATTATTCTTTGATTAGTAAATTAAACAAAGAGTGAGACAGACCTGCAATGAGGTTAGACATAGTGCCCGACGGAACAAATATAGCCGCCTCTTTGCCCACCACTTTGGCCGCATAGCTCTCCAGCTCTTTATTTGTTAATAATAACCATTTGTGTAAAATATTAATTTATTGTACAACCATTAACTTAAATGAGACAAACCATTGACTGTTGGATCCTCTTTATAGCAATCATCTCCGACCACAGACTCAGCCATAGCTTTACGCATCAGATCTGACGGTTTGGTCAAAGTATCCGAACGAAGATCTATGACTCTGAATATAATTTGCATTTTTATGACTCAATTTTCATATAAATTTATTCACAGAATTGCTTACTTTTGCATTTTTACCAAGTTCCAGTCAAATAGGCTTAAATAATATTAAAAATTATTCGTTTTACACATTAATGTCTAACACATTTTAGTGACTTGAACATAATTTATATTAATTTCCTATAANTAAATTTATTCACAGAATTGCTTACTTTTGCATTTTTACCAAGTTCCAGTCAAATAGGCTTAAATAATATTAAAAATTATTCGTTTTACACATTAATGTCTAACACATTTTAGTGACTTGAACATAATTTATATTAATTTCCTATAACACATTCAAGGACTAAATTGGCAAATCATAATGAATAAGCTTTCATAAATTATCTCAAATCAATATTTAAAAATAATTGTTTAGATTAAATGTGAAAACATGGAATATGTTTACAGTGCAATTGGACCCAAGTGTCTACAACTCTACTCAAAGTTATTAATAAGTGGTGCTATTTTAGAGTGCATTCAGATTTACAGAATCCAATAGATGTGATATTCTTTAGATTGATATAAACTTCCTATTCTTTAGATTCTTATCATTTATGCAATAATTTATTAATTTTAAATTATTATTAAATTAACTCTAGCGTTAATATTTTTTATATTTTCTTAATTCTAAATAAACATCTCCAAAATCACATGTATATATCATCTGTATTTATATTGAGATTACATATTTTACTAATTAATCTAAAATATCAAGTGTTTATGTACCAAACCTAAAAGCAATGTTACAATGAATGAATTTATTTGTAAATTTTTGTGTTTTTATTAACGAATATATCATATTTATACATTTTAATAATACTTTTATACATAATTATACCACTTTATACATAAAACTTCACAAAATTAAAAATTATTTCAAATTTAAACTTTTGATTTAAATATAATAAAACAAAAATATAGATTTTATGATAAGATCTATTTTGTTAAATATATATTTATTGCAATTAATGTCGAATATGTTGAATAAAAATATGTAAACATTTAGTGATTTTGTATGAATTGTTCCAATGTTTTGGATCCAACTCTGCCTTTGAAGGGAATGCGAAACCGATTGATTGTTTGCGCGCAAAGACATTGAAGTGATGTATACTTCAGGGGAAAGACTTGATATAAATTGAGAGACGGATTGGGAGCCAAGTCAAGAGCTGCCTTTCCATTGGTATTCGTGAAGTCTAGATGAGCGCCGTTGTCGAGAAGTGTGACAAACAATGGAGGAGTGGTGTGTTTGGCCGATGCACTGATATGAAGGGGTGTATTGCCCTCGTTGTCCACCACATCCAATGAATGGCCCACTTCTATGAGCAGTTGGCAGACGTCCGTCACCGGCATCTCATAGAACGGAAACAAAGCGAACGAATTGTCGCCGACATTACACACCATATGAAGCAAAGTCCAGCCATTTTTGCCCCGAGGGTTGAGTTTAACCAATCGATAGATCTCTGTCTTGAGTTCCTTGTCCTCACTCGCAGAGAGGAAAGGCTTGAGTCGGCAAAGAAGGCCTAAAAAGCTGAGCACTATATTAATGGTTCGGTTATAGTTTGTCAAGTCGTGGTCACTCAGAGCCTTCACACGAGTGGCCGTCGCTTCCAATTCATGTATGGCTCGCCTCAGGACTGCAAACAAGTCTGAGAAGCGAACCATTGATAGAGACTTAGACATCATCAGAGAGAAGAGTTCGACAAACGATAAGAGACTGCTTTGAGTCATAGTGTTGAGGGCGTCGAAGATCTTCTGCTGCATATCCAACGCATAGATCCATAACTGGAAACATCTTTCATAGTTCCCAGAGTCGGCATAAACGGCACCTCTATATCGGATGTAATACGACGTGTCCGGATGGGACGGGCCGAGGATTCTCTCCCTAATCAGCAGTGACTGCATTCTCATGAGGTCGGGATCGATCACCAGTTCCTCTAATTGGTCGACATCTGAGAACTCAATGGCGTAATTGTAAGCAATATTTGGCTCAACCTTTGACTTGAAAATGGGATAATTATCACAACAGTTGCGTAACTTAAGAGCTTTGCGCCAAAGGGTGACAGCTGTCAATATGTCGTGCTTTTTGTCCACAAAAGTCGAGCCCAAGAGCTCTAATGCTTCGATCGCTTCCAATGGAGTGCAGAGTTGTTGAGATGTAATCAGATCGACGATCTGCGAGTGACCCGACAGTGCCGCCGCTTTCAATGGCGACATTCCGTATGAATCCGTGTCCATAACCGCGCCATTCATTAGCAATAACTTCATTATCTCTAAACTCCCGGATTCGGCACAATCGTGAAGAGCAGTGTTCCCTGAATTACACATACGTTTAGACATTACAAACCAATTGCAATACAACGCAAACCTTTGAAACTCTTTCGGTTCACTTGAGCCCCGATTGAGATCAAGTACTCAGCAATACTTAAGTGCTTCTTATACGCGCATATCATTAGACTTTATAAACACAAACAATTCATTAATTATATTCATTATCATAATAAACAGTGCGCCGTGTACAGACCAGGTGTGGCCGTGTCTGTTAGCAATCTCTATGTCAGCGCCGAACTCAACCAAATACTTGACGATCTCTGCAAACAAATTATACATTTGTGTCAAACCATGTCAATAGAGAGTGTCTCTTATAGACAGACCGATGTGTCCATCAAAACAGGCGGCCCTTAATGGCGTGGAATTGGTTTTGGTTTTGCTGTTCACATTGGCTCCATGTCCTATCAGGGACTTCACGCACGACAAGTGACCCGCGGCTGACGCGCACCATATGGGAGGCGCCGCCTCTATAGACTCGCCGTCGAAGTTCACGGATCCCACCTTTGGGTAGACAATGGATTCAATGGTGTGTTATATGCGTGAATGTCAGGCATACCTGTTCAATATCTGCATTGCATTTGTCAATCAAATACTCCAAAACATTTAAGTATCCATTTCTGGCCGCAATCAGCAGAGGGGTCGCGCCGTTAGTCCGCAGAGAGACTATCAGTTTCACCTCCTCTTTGGGCCTGTGGTCCAGAAACAGCTGTCAATCAGATTCACAATTAATTAATACGTGTCTTAAACCCCATAATCATCAATATAACAGTCACAGAACGGCAGGGGAGGGCAGGGAGTGAGGGTGAACATCATGAGTCACTCGACACTACAATCAATGCATTTATAGTCCACTCGTTTGACTGCAAATGCAATGATTGATATATATATTGACATCATTTGACACAAATGTCGTACAAATGATAACAAGGAGTCAAGTGATGGTGGGATGAAAGGGTCACTCAATGGCCACACAATGAGACCGCAGGACGGATCAAGTGATAAGTGATACCTTAAGACGTCTGAGTTTGCCATCTCTGGCGGCGTTGAACACAATGTTCTTGAATTCCATTCAATTGTGTCTAAAATGCAAACAATTACTCATAAAATGAACTGAATTTCCATTCAATTGGCGTTTAATTGACCACAAAATGTGAATTAAATTCAATTGAGTTGTGATTTGTTTGCAAAGACTAATGTTTTCATTCACACAGTATTCACAGCGCATGTCTCATAAACTGCTGTTTCACTTGCATTCACACATCACGTATTGTTTGGGGCTTTCATCGCAACAATCATCGCATTCATCACTTGTGCAACATTTGTGAGGGGATTACCATTTGGCTATATATGGGTTACGCTGTCTATGAGCTGTCAAATGGTTTTTAATTTTCGTAATTTTCACAAAATTCAATGCATCAAACATTTGCAGTGATTGTGTCCATTGAGTCAATAGCTATTGCCGTATATATCGACGCATTTATGATCACTATTTAGTTATCAATTCATTTGAGATTTAAACGTATCGTATATACAGTTAAGAGTATTGATAATTGCATATAAATGAGACAGCTACATTTGAAGTATCTATGTTACCAATTAACAATGCATAGTTACGGATTATATGCAATAGTATAGCAATGAATTGATTGGCAATAAATGCATATTAATATCAATAGCTATTGTACTGATTGGCAGTGATGTGCACTCATGAGTGAATGTATGCCAATTGGTCACCACAACCACAACCACTGTATCTCATAAACCACTGCATTGTGTCACATATTATGGTGACAACACATTTTCATATAACACACCATTTTCATAAATATGCAATTTATTTGCCTTAACTAAATTGATTAGCATGCACACATTCTGTTTAAACAATTTACATGGACATTACCATAATGATTAATTGATCAAAATTCCTTAAGTATGCTTTTAACATGTAAACACCTACAATAAATAGATTATAATATCAAATACCTCATTTTTACTGTACATACAAGTTTTTAATTATTAATAATTATTAATAATTTATTAATATTTAAATTTGTTAAAATATTTAGTGATCCTGAACCCATGTTCTTGATAAATGCAACAACTTATAGGAGTTAACTAACCAAGTTACAAATAACTTATGTTGAAACTTAACTTTAAAATCGGATTACAGTATAATATATTATATTGTATATTATACTTTTACAGAAATTATTGAAACTAGCGTAAGTTTAGAATTTTAAAAGTTACAGTATATGCTTAAACACGGATAATTTTACCTAAAACATTAATACGGTAATTATAGAATAAAATATCTAGATAAATATTTTGACTGTGACTATACTGTGGTACAGTATAAATAATGGATTTATTAAATATTAAATTATTAATTTGACATAAATTTTATACTATAAATCTATATTTAATTATTTAATTTCATTTATTATAGACAATTTGTACATGTTTAATATTGCTGGAATATTGTAGATTTGTATTAAAAATATAATTTTCAATTAATTAATACAGGTATTATATTATACATGTATATAAGATTGTATACTCTATTATTGCTGATAATTGAATGTGTAAAGAATATCTGGAATTTGATGACATATTAATAAAATTTAGTTTTTATTTTATAGTTAATCAATATATAAATTTCAACTAAATTGTATTTTAGACTAACATAGTGTGAATGCCTAAAACATATAACAAACAACAAAATTGTTTTCAATTTAATGGTCATAATACCAGTTAGAGTGAGTCTTTCAACAATTTGAAAACATTTGAGTGAATAGAGTGTCCGAATAGTTTGGGTCACATGTGTTGTGTATTCTTTGCGATAATTCGTGGACTCTTATTATAGTAAAGTGACAAATATTAGAGATAATTTGTGTTATTATGACTGCATAATCATTTAGACCAACTGTAAGGCATGTTATTATATTAGATAATGTGTGACTATAGAGAACTCGTTGATTACTATTAAATGAATGGTTTGGTATTATTAACTCAAATATTGTCTAAACGGCACTGCATTTGATTAATTAATACAAGAATTTATGCTAAGCGTAGAGACATATGCTTTTAAATGCTGTTAAACCTGAAGATAGGCTGAGAAGCGAATGCATGGCTTCATATGTAACCTGAGGTCAAGTCCGTCCGTCGACTTATTCACTGCTTCTTTCACTTCTCTCACAACATAACGATCTATAGATATGTAACGTATTGTCAAAATCACATTTCTTCCTGTTTTCATACGCTCTTAACGCTAAGTTTTGCACACTTTTCGTAACTATCAGCACAATATTCAATATTCTTGTATTTATTTTATTAACTAATCATGAGATTTATTATTTTAAGTGTGAGTGCCAATATAAGTCTAATTTATATATTTTTTCTCATTTTTATTTATACGGTTTGTTTTTTAGTTATTTTTGTCATTCAATTATGTTTCGTGCGATCAATCGGTTTATGGCAAAGACAACTACTATGCCTTTGCAAAGGCAGAGAACCACCTCCACAAACCTCCCAAAGTTAGGAAACCACCGTATATTCCCACTAACATTGATTGCTTAGGTATGACTTACTTTCAATAATCATATTAGATAATCTATTTTATAATTCGTTTGTAAATTTTAAATTATATATCTTATCTATATACAGTATCAATATTTTTTATAAAATATTAAATTTTACAATTAATTTTTAATGCATTTAAATTTGTTTTAATTTTAAAAGTTTCATTTTTAATAATTCATTTATACTGATAATATTTAATTGACTTAACATTGATAATGTATATTTATAAAACAAAAATATAATTTGTAAAATTTATTATATTATTTGTGAATTCTTGTAAAAAGGATTGAATAGTAAGCATTTGTCTCCAAAACATACTCTTTGTGGCGATCTTAACCTGGGATTTGTACCTAAAAACCCAATGGGACAGAATGTATTGTCACAGCCCTATCCATTGTAAGATTTTATATTATTATATTATGTTAATAATAAAAATGATGACAAATAATATATTTTGTAAATCCAAAGCGAAATAATAAAGAACAAAACTCTTCATTTCCTGGCGAATGCATTGCCCGTATTGAAGCAGAGAATGCATACCATTCCCAAAGTTGCAAAACTTTTCAAACCTTCAGATGTATTTGAACAGTAAGTTTGTTAAAATCTCATAATAATATTATGTAAAAATTCTAATCTTACCGGTAATGTTAATCGTTTAGCATTGTAAAATGTTTTGTGTATTAAATTTATTTCTATTCTATTGATTATCTACATAAAAATCTATATTTTGTTTAAAAAACATTTAAAGCATATATTTTATTGTTAATATAATAGGCCTTCAGTGCCATATCACAGAAGATTTGTGCGCGAAGTGAGCAATAATTCATCGAAGAGTGTCTTAAGTGAAGTCAAGACAATAACCAATTCTGATAAAAATGGGACCGACTTTTTGAGACAAAATTTATGCGAAGGAAACTCGTGAGTGGTTATTGATTTATTTCATAAAATATTTGCACAAATTTACAAATATAAATTTATATGCCTACTAAAATATTTATTCAATTTATCTTATAAAATTTATAACCTGCATTTTTATATTGCACATTAACCGATATCCAAGCATACTACAGTGTATTAAAGCATACTACAGTATATTAATATACAGTACTGTCTTTGGTTCTTAGTTCAAATTTGAAAGCCTTATTAAAAAACTATATTTGCTTTGTTACTGTATTATTAAATATTTTTAAATATATTTATTTTAAAACCTAATACTGTATGGTAATTGTATTGGATTGAATGTCAGCTAAAGGATTAAAATAATATGAAAATTAATAAATTTAGCTGTGCATTAAATATTTTCATTGACCTAAAATTATAAATTTAAATCTCTATTAGAATCTGTCAGGCATTTGATTCCCTCAAAAGTGACGGACCCTTTTCCAAGAACTTCCTCAGTAATGTAGTGTCAGCCGTGAGCAATGCGGCCACTATTGGCAACATAGCATCGATGGTCAACCAATACGGGGGTCAGTTTGGCGATTTACAACAGAATACCAATAATATAAACTCTAACGACAATAAGTCGACGATATCTCAGGTCTTGTCGACTTTATCGACTATAAGCGGTTCCAATAATTACAGTCCTTGGATCTCTATTATTGATTATATTTCAAGTTTTCAAAATTCAAATAAGTTTCCGTCCAGACGTCGAAAGCCACTCGAACCCGAAGACTTATTGCCAGAACCAACTGAACAGTCGACAACTCCCTGTCCAGCCATTGAGGAATATATATCTCCCACATTTGCTCGCAATTACCAGGGTATCTGGAAATATGTCGTTCAAATTCCAAGTGAAGGGTAATTGTTGATTCATAAAAATATTAAAATTACTTGTTATACAGTATAAACACCATAACTGATTCTTTAATATTTCAATTTATGAATAAAACTTCAATATTTAGAATAACATTTTAATAAATAATATTATTAAATTATTAAATATTATTTATACTAATATTTTTATAGAAATTAATACTGGCACATTAATTTGACAGAATAATTAACTAATAAACTATACATATCATAAAACTTTATATTAAATTTGAATCAGGAATTTAAAATTTGATCGATTTTAGTTATATCAATAATTTAACCTTAACTCTTTTCATTCATCATATATTAAGTAAAATATTAGAAAAACAAGATTCTTTGTGCTATTATAACTTATTAAAACATATTTGTCCAGTACCAAATTATAAGTCAAATCACATTTTTATTTTTTTTGTATAGATATTTCACACAAACTATTCAGAGAACTACATGTCTGTAAGTATTCAAAGAATCTTATCTTATATTTTAAGAAATGAAAAACAATGA